TATATATATATATATATATATATATAAACTTTTTACATTTATTTGATGTTATATTTTTTATTTTTTAACCTTTTTTTAAATATAAAAGTTTATATTTTTATAATCATTTTATTTTTATACAACTGTGAAATGAACGTAAAAGTGTATTTTAATATCGTGACTTTTTATTTTAATTTTTAGTCAACGTAATAGTTAACACTCACCCTAATTTTCAACAACCAGAAAGATAAATATAATGAAATAAATTACCAACAACCAGAAAAGTTAAATATAATGAAATAAGTTTAGTTAGGAAGAGAGAGAAACAGATAAAATATGTGTTTCCCAGAGTCATGGTCCAAGATGTGCAGAGTAACGAACATGCAACAAGTGTCTAACCGCGTTAGTGCTACCTTTCATTTGATTACAAAAGTAATCCTTTGACATACTGGGTCCCACTTTTTTAAATATTTATTAAAACAATGACATCATGACACAGTTCTTTCACACATAATACAAGATTAAAATAGTATAAATTTTTGTTTTTTTAAAAAAATAGAGTAAAATATAGAAAAACATTATGTCAAATAAGTGTTAAAAATTTACTTGTTTTGAAAAATCATTTTCCTATTTATTAAAGATGAAAAGATAACTTTGATAGAAAATTTTGAAAAGTACCCTATGATTGAATGTTATTGCTACCTGAGGTGTCAATGTACATTACTCATTTGATTAATGTTTTATTAATAATTCAAAGTAAAACACACGTGATTTTAGTGGTGATAATTCTCCTATTATCTCGTCCACCCGTAGAGTAGAGCATCGGTTCTATATAAGGAGGAGAGTAATTGGGGAGTTAGGTATCTATCTTAGTGCTTATTTGAGAAAGTGAGTCTTTTCTCTTCAGATATCTCTCTCACTTATTTCAGTCTCTTTCCTGTTTCCTTCGCCTTTCTCATCAGATCATTATATTTCTGTGTAGTAGTTCTCGAACATACATTCTTTAGATTTCTGTAAATATATAAAACCATGGCCTTACAGGCTAAAAACACCATCATGCAAATCCTCACATGCCCAAGCTGCCATTCATGTCTAACCACAATAAGAAAATCATTTTTAATATGTTTTAAAATCTTGAACATAGTGAAGTTGTACCCATTATATTCAACCGGACACATTGATTATCCTTTTATTGCAATTACTTCCACATGTTTTTGTCTATTTAGCTAACACAGTTTTCCAAATTTCTTACACTTTTTTTTATCTTCTATGTGACCACAGATATGGACACTGTAGCCACTACTACACTGATCTTCATGTTGGCATGTGCCATCATGCATGCTCTTCGTTCACTGCATTCAAGGAGAAGAAATTCGAACTACAAGATTCCACCGGGACCGTCCCTTCTCACCATCATCAGAAACTCTCGTCAACTGTACAAAAAGCCACAGCAGACAATGGCCAAGCTTGCCAAATTCTATGGCCCCATAATGCGTTTCACCATCGGCCAATCAACCACCATAGTAATCTCTTCCACAGTCGCAGCCCAAGAAATTCTCCAAACCCATGACACCCTATTCTCGGACAGAACAAACCCCGACGTCACAACATCGTACAACCACAACCATTACAGCTTGGTCTTTCTCCCTGTCTCGCCCCTCTGGCAAGAACTGAGAAAAATTTGCCACGGAAACTTGTTTTCCGTCAAAACCCTTGACGCAAGTCAAGACCTTAGACGCAGGAAACTGCAGGAACTGCTGAGTGATATCCGCCAAAATAGCCTCGACGGCGAAGTGGTGGACGTCGGAAGAGCAGCATTCATGGCCTGCATTAACTTTTTGTCGTACACTTTTGTGTCAAAAGATTTTGTTCCCTCTGTAGGTAATGGTGAGTACAAGCACGTCGTGGCGACTCTCTTGAAAGCAACGGGAACACCGAACTTGGTGGATTACTTCCCCTTCTTGAGGGTGTTCGATCCACAAGGCATAAGAAGACACACCACGAATTACATAGACAAGTTGTTCGATGTGTTGGACCCCATAATCGATGAACGGTTGAAGATGAGGCAAGAGGAGAATTATGTCACCAGCCATGACATGCTTGATATCTTGCTTGATATTTCTCAAAAGAGCAGCGAGAATATACACAGAAAGCAGATCAAACATTTATTCCTTGTACGTATACATTCCTCTTTTAATCTCATTCTTATACTTTTTGGTGTGTTTCATTAGATCTGTGCTTTCTGCTATTAATTTTCACATAAATCATTCAAATTTTAAAATATAATTAATATATAAAAAAATCCATTTATTTATTTAATTATTATCTTAGATATAAAAACACCACCTGGAATTATCTATGAATGCCTGGAGTATGAAAGTAATTTGTGAATTGGTGACAGGATCTACTGGTTGCGGGGACCGATACGACGGCGTACGGCTTAGAACGGACAATGACGGAGCTAATGCACAACCCGGAGGCGATGCGGAAGGTGAAGAAGGAGTTGGCGGAAGTGATCGGAGTGGGGAAGGCGGTGGATGAATCGGACGTGGCAAGGCTTCCGTATATGCAAGCGGTGATAAAAGAGAGTCTTCGCATGCACCCACCAGCGCCGCTTCTGCTTCCACGAAGGGCGAAAATAGACGTGGAAGTGTGCGGGTGGACGGTGCCAAAGGGTGCTCAGGTGCTGATAAACGAGTGGGCCATAGGGAGGAGCCCGGAGGTGTGGGAGGATGCGCATGTGTTCTCGCCGGAGAGATTCTTGGACTCTGACATCGACGTGAAAGGTCGACACTTTAAGCTGACACCCTTCGGCAGTGGAAGACGCATCTGCCCTGGCTCTCCACTGGCCGTGAGAATGTTGCACCTCATGCTGGGCTCTCTTGTCAACTGCTTCGATTGGAAACTCGAAAACAACATGGAACCTAAGGATATGGACATGGATGAATCGCTTAGGGCAATTCCTGTTCCTATCTAAAATACCAGATTCTGCCTTTCATTATTTCTGTACGCTTCCCTGCTTTTATCTTTTTTCTTGCTTCTTTTTCTGAACTATTTTACTGTCCTTAAATTTCAGTCGTGTATATTTTCGTTAACCTTGTCTAATGTAAGACATTTTTTTAATGTTAAATGTAATCTCTAATTTATTCATGTTCAATTTAGTCTTTTTTTTTCACAACTTTTAAATCGTTACGATATAATATTTATCTCAGCCATCACTGATTTGTTAGCTTTTATAACAAATTAAAAAAAATATATTATTTGAAAGTGATTTTGTTTGAATCCTAACCCCCAAATTGCTAAAAATATAACTCAAAAAAGAAATATCAAATTCAAAATGCTAACACCCAAATCGCATTAACAATATACAAATGAGCATCAAGAACATATGAAATTCTCAAACCAAAATATCAAGAACACAAGGACTTCTCGAAATAACACCTAATTTCAAATTCAAATTCGAACCCTAATGTGAAACGAAAAAACATAAAGAAACTCTAATTTTCCAAAAAAAAAAAAAAAGATCGTAAACCCTAAATTGCAAGATTAGGACCACAATTCCCCTACTGTCGTACGTCGTCGATACCCCTTGCAACGCATCATCGCTACCTTCACCAGCCACTGCAGCATTGTTCGCACTCAAATCGCATCCACTTTCGTGGGTTGCTTCAAAGGGAAAAAAGGAAGAAGGGTTTTCTTATAAGTCGAACCCACAACAGAGAAAGGAAGGAGAAGAATATCTCCATGCGCGATGAAAGGAAGGAGGTGGGCGGAGGAAGGGTGACGCAGCGACAATAAAGTTATACCACTTTCAAATATCAGATTTTCTTTTAATTTACCACATATATAAAAAAATTTAACAACTCATTCGTTGATGGCTGATATGGATATTGTATCGTTAACAATTTAAACGTCGTCGGTCAAAATGACTAAATTGAACATAAATTACGATATAAAAGACTATATTGAATTTTAAAAAAAATGAGTCTTACATCGAATAAATAAAATTAACGAAAATAAGAACCAAAAGTAATATTAAGACTAAAATAATATTAGATAACTTGTCTCTTGCATTTGTTGGATTCTTATCTATGGTCTAAACAAAAGGCTAAGTTAGAATATACTAAATAGTACATATTCAAATTTATTTGACACACCTTATTAAAATTAAAAGCAAACATAATCTTAAATTCTGTTTTATTACATGGAGTTATACTTAAATTCATTTTTCAACGTGGTGTCAAAGTCACGGGATTTGACTTTATTTTAAGTACAATGACATCTTTACATAAATATTCTTTTACAACATTTTGAAAGTTGCACCTCTTGAACTTTTATTCGCTTTTTACACTACGTCAATATATTAACAAAAATATAATGAATTGCTGAAAAAACTGACATACGTATTATTTTAGAATGTTATTAAAATATTTATTTTTTATTTCATTAATATCTAATCTTACCTTAATTTGTATATAGTTTTTATGATAAAGTGTGTTATCATGACTAAAAGTAAGTCTTATCATATAAATCATTTGTTAAATTTATTGTTACACTCGTTTATAGATCATTTATTAATATTTAGTCTCGCCATTAAAATGCATATATATTGATCTGGACGTATTCATTAATGTTTAGTCTCACGATTAAAATGTATATATCTTGATCTAAAGCTGCCTGTTAGAAATCTTGCATAAAATAAAACCAATTTAAAATATATAAAAATGATCATAAATTTCATCTTACAAAATTTCACCTTAAAAGCAGTTTTTCAATTGAGTAAGGTTTAAATTTTATTTTTTAGTCTTGTTGATTTTTAGATATCTTTAAATCTTATTAATTGGTCAATAAATGAGTGTGTTAGCTGGAAAATGGTTGAAATCTACAAACTTACGTATATCAAACAGGGAAAAAAAAAGATGGAGAAGATGGTTGGATATGTATTAAAGAAAAAAAGTAGAAAGACAAAAAAGAAAAAAACGAGATGGAAAAAAAAGAAACGACGAACAAGTTAGGAAGAAGCTGCCAAATTTTCTAATAATGGCTAGCGAGCCAAAACTTCACACTCAAACCAGGCTAGCGAGCTAAAGTGACATTAATGGCAATATGTTATTACACATCCACTTGTTGCAATGAGTTATTCTATATAATGTTGTTAGAAATAAAATAAAACATTAAAATTACTTTATTTGTAAATTAAATTTATTTTATGTGTAAATTATGATATATATTTTATCAGTTTATTTTCGAAAAAAAAAATTGTAAAATAAAGCAATTTCAATTGTTATCTTATTTTTCCTTTTTATTTTGATTTCGTTCTCATTTCTATTTGCAAAGTGTTTCAGTATAATTGTTGGGACCGAGGTACGAACCTTGTTGATGATGTGTAATCTCTCTTGTATTTCTAGTATTCTTGCTCGCACTTCTCGCACTGTGTAGTATGCCCACTTTAATGGGAGTGGGAGTACCTGCGAAGATACTTCGATGCTAAAGTCAGATATGAGTGACAGAACTTTTGTTCTTCTCTCAATGAATCTCTCGTAATGTAATCTCCCTTTCTTAGAGTGAAAAACGTACCTTTTCTCCTTAGGTTATTCTGTATTTAACTTAAAAGTAAAATAAACTGATTACCTTACAATTCGGTCAGTTGGTAAATCCAGTTTCTTGCCTGTGATCTACGTAGTCTTGATATTTGGTTAGTTGGCCTCGTAACTTGCGTTATTACGATTAGATATTTTTTACTATTTCTTCTTTAACTGAACTACTTGGACTATTGATCCACAAGTGTTGGGTTAATTGGCCCAACCTCGCTAAATGTAATTGGGCGTCCACTGATTCTGGCTTGATCGGATTGAGTTTGTGTTGTAATATCGCTTGACCTTTGTCGAGCACCTTGTTTTGCTTACGAAGGTTTGACGAGCCCTGTCAATTGCAAGATAATTGACGAGCATTTGGTATAGTCGATCGTTCGCGAGTTGTCGCTATAATTGGGGTAGCGATCGTTCGGTCATTGTCGTTGATAACCGCTTTGTTTGGCGTAGCGATCGTTCGGTCACTGTGGTTGATAACCGCTCAGTTTGACGTAACAATCGTTCGGTTACTATGGTTGATAACCGTTTGGTTTGGCGTAGGATCGTTCGGTCATTGTGGTTGATAAACACTCAGTTCATACTATACACAAAGCATGTCTAAATCAATTACAATCTTTTCACAATGATATGTTATAAGAAAATGAAAGAAACAAAATGCAAGAAAAGAGTTGTTAAAATTAAAGGAACTAAAAATAGAAAGTGTCCATAAATATTTTCCATGTGCACTGAAGATGGTTTTTTTAGTAAGTGATCCATAACCACATAAAAAATGTGTGAAAATTAATAATTTAGTTTTTATAGATTTTTTATTTGTTTTATTTTTTATATTTGTTTTTTATTTAATTAAGTTTTTCTTTTTGAAAAAAAAATTAATATGGTCCACGTTAATATTATTTAAAAGTTTCAGTATCAAAATTTATATCTGTTATATTAAAATTTAAATAATATTTTATGTAATTTTAATATGTGTGTCATTTTCACGTAATACTTTTAAATAGTATATTAATGTTAATCTAACCGGAAAAGTGTGAGAACCTGATAAATTAATGCACACTAATCCATTCTCTGATCACATTTTTACTACACCTTGCCACGTCAAAATCCACTCACTTTCTCTCAGCATGCACTGAATGCCATATGTCATCTTGGAAGCTTCTAAAAGCTGTAGTGGAAACCATGTGGCAGTGTGTAACTGCTCAACCGTTTGACGAGGAAGAGAAAAACAATTTCTCTGAAAACACTTCTCTTCCTTCCATGCAATCATCATCTTCCTCTCGAATTCTGATCTTCCATTTTCTCTGCATTTTCTCTGCACTCTTTCATCTCCTCTTCGAAATAACTCACCATCATCTCTTCCAATATCATTTCAGACACCGTAGAAGCCTTCCCTGCACTGTGAGCATTGTTTTGAACCGAACAAAAACCAAAAATCTGGATTTGGTAAGTTCTCGTCCCTGCACTTGTCTGTTTTAGGTCATGCGAACCAAATCCTGGTTGCATGCATGGGTTATAGGTTTGAATCTTATGTCATTTTTGGTATCTTAGATTTAGTGAAAATCGTGGAGTGATTCATTGGGTAGAAAGCTGCTATTGACCGAGAGAAAATCTTAAGCAATTGGAAGTACACTGCTAGATCAGGTAAGGGAAGCTTATAAGTTTAATTAATACTGCTTGATTTTGTGATCTGAGTTGCATGTATGTAAAGTCTGATGTTGGAACTGTTGTGAACGATTTCTGATATCTGATATGATTTCTGGTGTTGGTTTAATCTGTCATAGACAAATACTGCTTGTATGTATTATGTATGTTGTTTTTGATTTTGATTAAATGCATGTTGATCTGATCATGTATAAATGGAATTATGGTGATTGTATAGTTGGAATGATTCAAATGTTGAAATCTGTATGATGATGATGTTTAAGGTGAATTAAATCTGGAATGAAAGTTATAAAGTTATAAATTGTAAATCTGGAAAATTTTTCTAAGTCTGAGAAATCTGAAATTTCATTCTTTCCCACTGATAAATGACGTTCGTCCCTGTACGGTCTTAAACCGTTCGGCATTTCAGTAAAGTAACTTAGATTGGGATTCTTTCATTTGGAAGGAATTCTGCT